CCCCTTACCGGTCATTTTTTTTTTTAAAAAAAAAAAAAAAAAGAAAGCTGTGCTGTAACCAACTGAGCCAACCAGCCCATGATGGTCCTTTAGAAATGACTACAAGGCAGTCATTTAGTCTGTCCTGAGATTAAATGGGTGTACTCTATAACAAGCTTTATTTGTGTTGGGCATTTAATATCACTAGGTGTTCCCCAGAAAACTACAAAAATTCCTTCTTTTGAAGTTCTTGACATGCAGAATTTAGCTGTCAAGTTAGAGTATGGAATCATGCCATATTTTAAAATAAAACTTCTTTTTAAAAAGTGACCAAATAATAAAAGTCAATGATCCTACCTAAGGTAGAATGCTTATAAAACGAATATGAAGTTTTGCAGATGTTGTATCTATAAAGTTAAAGTCAAGGTATGATTAAAGTGTTAATGGAGAGAAACAAACACCGTAAAAAGCAGCTGGGTAAGAAGGCAAATCTCATCCTTAATTCAGTGTTTATGTCCCTGTTACCCAAAGAATGGTGTGAGAGGACTCGATTCTTTGGGAAAGTAGAAAAATTCTATGATACAGTATATATCCACACATATGTATCCTAATGTGAGGGTACTTCGAAAAGTTCATGGAGAGATTCATATTATCTTTTAATTTTATTTTTCCATGAACTTTTTGAAGACACCCTTGTATATGTACATATGTGAATGTATATTATATATTACACACATCAGCATTGGTCTTTCTTTCAGATTTGTTAACAAAAGTCTAAAAAGTGAACACTAGCTCTGTTAGCTCAGGAAAGAGAGTTCTGTGATTTAAAAATAGTGCAAACCTATCTGCCCTATGATTTAATTATCTACTTGAGTCACTTCTTCAACTCTGCTTCTGTCTCACTCCTGTGGTTACATTTGTTTTCTATTTTTGGCTGTGTTTTATTATAAAGCCACTTATCAAAGCAGAGAGAACATAGTTTTTGACCAAATAATATAATGCTCAATAATCCAAGCCTGTTCATATGTCTGTATGGCTTGAAATGCTCTCTAGAAGAGATCTCTTTTTAAAGTCACGTGCTGACTTCCATCATCGCCTTGGCTTCCACTACTTAGTCCCCTCATTCCTTCCCCTACTCCCTACAGCTGCTTTAAGGCATTTTAAGGTTGATTATTGTTGATCTAACACCTTTAGGTAATGCTGGGTAGTTTCCCTTTGCAATTAAACTTAACTAACTGATAGGGATTACTAGCATATATCTTGTGGTCTGGCTTAGGGAAAATAATAACAGAAATTTAAAATACCTTTTCATTGACTTAAAGTATATCTTTAACACGCGCTAGGATATAAGTAGTTTCTAAGAAAAACAGGCTAGCTTCATAAAAATGCAATTCAAAACAGACTAACATTAAATAACCTAGCATGAGGGCAGGAATTTCTAAACATTAAAGGCATCTGCAATTTTTAAAAAATTTTACACCTGATTCCCTTGTTTGTAAAGAAGACCATCAGTACTTAAAGAAGTTGGTTCTCCTACAGAAATACTAGAATGTAGCTTTATTTAGCTTTTATTAAGATTGTTCAATACAGCCACCTTTGTAATGGGAATCCACAATAAGAGAATGGTGAAGTAAGAGACAGCACGTACATCCTATGGGACACTATGTAGCCACTGAACAGAGTGAGATAGATCTACATGTACTAGTAATGGGAAGATGTCTATAATGTTTGATAAGAGGAGGAAAAAAAGCTCGTCGTAGAACAATACGTATAGCATAAACCTATTTACATAAAAACCAAAATAACAAAACCTACGCGTGTGTGTATACATAGAATATGTTTGTAAATGCATAGAAAAAGATTTGGAAAGAAACACCCTCAACTATTCTCTTGGGAGGAGAGTGTGATAGGGACTTTCACTTTTTACTCTAGACTTCCATATTCTTTGTTCGAATTTTTACTAAGGAACATGCATTAATTTTATAATTTAAAACATTTCACAAAAAGAATTAATCAAAATCAGCAATAATAATAACTTATAGTGCCTTGATTTGGATTTCTTGATTTAACAATATCTCGTTTTATTACTAACACTTTATTATAACAGTTTATTATTTATAATTGATGGGTTTTGGTAAAAACAAGTCCAGACAATATGAAGGGGTGTTTCTGGGCTTGGTGGTGGCGCCCTCTTGTGACCAGTGAGAGGATGTCAGCCTATTGCCATCCCTGGAGTCCTGAGGTGCTAAGACAAGCGAATGGCCCAGCTGGGAAGTGTGGTGATGGCAAGGGGGAGCGTGTGGAATCAGATGGAAGCCGTGCTTCCCAAAGCGGGCTCTTAAGAACTTCTTGAATGTCCTCACAGATGAATAATAGAGGGTGGTATTTAATTAATCATGCCTTATACCCAGGGCAATTTTAATGTCTGGAGTTATTCCAGCCTTCTAGCCCAGAAACACTGTCAAGATGCATTCTTTCTTGGGCCATTTAAAAACTGCTTTTAAGTATGGCTATATATTCATGGGACAGTGGGTGGGAGTGGGCAGGGTAGGGAAGGAGGATGGGGGTGGGGGAGAACTGTGGGAGGTGGGGGAAGGAAAGCAGAGAGGGCCTGATCATTTATAAGGGGCCAGTGTGTCTTCTCATAGCTACAAAAAAAAAAGGGAGGTAAACAGAAATGTGACAGGCACAGAGCAGCAAAGCATCTGTTTACATAGCAAGGGCCAGTGCAAATTAGGAGGGTCAAAGAGCTTTTATACGAGTCACCAAATTCTATTTGCAAAATGACTTTAAACACATTCTCCTTTCATCCATGTTTTAAAGGCTTAGAATGGAGACAAATTGGCTTTTCAAAAAATCAACAGGTGCAAAATGGAATCATTGCAGAGTCTCTACACAATTTCTTAAAGTAGGGGGTTAATAATATAATTTAAATGAATATTTTGTTAGCCATTAAGGAACTGCCCCCCCCCAAAGATCACCCAGAAAACCCTACCTGAAGAAGGGGTGGGTTTTGGAGGTCTGGGTGTTGGTGGACAAGGTCCAGGCACCG